GCGCCCTGTTGTGCCGCAGCAGGCGGAGAAAAGCCGAGAAAACCCCCGAACGGAGCACCGCGGACCTGGGAGAGCTGGAAAAGAAGACCAGGGCGATGGGGGGAGGGGGGGGTTAATTGATTTCTTTCCTAATTGTCTTTTCCCGGCAAACAATAAACCTGACTTGGGGGGCGGGGGGGAAGGAGGAAGGAGATGGGCTTAAGCTCTGCCCCTGTTTTTTTATCATCTCTGCTAGAACCAAACTGACTGACACCCTTCTGAAGAAAGGCTCAGTGGGACCCGTCTAGGTAGGACGCATCCCCCCCACCCCACACAACCAGCCAAAGTACCCCCCCCCCACTTCTGGGCAGGCCAAATTTGCAACCAGAGGTTGATTGATTGATTGATCCTGCCTTTTCCCCCAACGAGGACACAAGCCCTCCTTTTTATCCTCAGAACAACCCTGTGAGGTAGATTGAGATGGGTGGCCGCGGTAGTCTATCTGTAGCAGGAGAAAAGAGCAAGGGTCCAGGAGCATCTTCAAAACGAACAACATTTGTGGCAGGGGAGGAGCTTTCCTGAGTCACTGCTCACTTCTTCAGATAGATCAAGATCAGTGGCCACGTTAGTCTGTCTGCAGCAGGAGAAAAGAGCACGAGTCCAGGGGCACTTTCAAGACTAACACCATTTGTGGCCCCGTAGGATCTTTTGTGAGTCACTGTTCACTTCTTCAGTGAGGTAGGGTTAGACTGAGAATTTGTGCCCTGCCCAAGATCTCCAACAAACGTCCATGGCCCAAGTGGGGATTCGAACCCGGGTTTCCCAGATCCTTAGTTCAGCACTTTAACCATGATGCTAAGCTGGCTGGCTGCTTTCAGATTTCAGAGACTGGCTGTTGGTATCAAAATAAAGGGGAGAGTGCCTCTGAGCACAGAGTGCGTGCGTTTCCTATTTGTTGCTGCAGCACAGATCCACTGCAATGTGAAAGGCATGCCGATGTGGGCTTTAAGATAAAGTGAGGCATAATGTCAATCAAAGGATTCCCTGGGAGGAGGGAGAATTGAAACCTTTCACAATTTAGGGCATCAACACCCCCCCACACACACACACACGGACATCTCCCCCCCCCCCCCCTTGTTGGTTTCCTGAAGGAGAGTTATCATTTCAGATCATTTCTCCCTCCGTGCCTGTCTTCCCTTCCTGCTCTCTTCCTCCAGCGGGAATCAGCACTGGAGAGAATGCACAATGTTTGGCATGACGGGAGATGCTGCAGGATCCCCCCCCCCCCAAATCCAGATTCCCCAGCTGGGGGGCCGCCAGCCGCTTCTGCTCAGAGTCCAGCCCAGAAGAGGGCATGCCACCGACCAGGAACGCTCGGCCCAGCCTCTCCCACCATCACCCCAGAGACACCCCACAAACACCATCACAGTGACCTCTGGGGTGACCTCCCATGTCCTGTTTGGAGGGGCCCTGCAAGAATTGTTCTCCCCTCCCTCCAGGAAACGGGCAATGGTGGTGTCACTGTTGCTCCTGGGGCAAGGAAAGGGTGGCAGGGTGGCAGCAGTGAAAGAGTGCCACTGGTGCCTGAGAGCCATGATTCCCTGGGCACAACCTCCCATCGCCTGGGCAGAGAGCAAGACGCCACAGATTGTCCGGCTGTTATGTATTGGGATTGAATCATCCCTGACTGAATCACCCCAGAGACTGGCTGAGCTTGGAGCACAAGAACAATAGCCTACCAGGATTCTGAAAGTAACCAGTCTAGTAGTAATGTTATGTAAATAGCCTATCACTGGGAGTGGGGTGTGTTTGGGTGTGGCAACTGCATGCTATTTAACAGAGCTGAGGCTCTGGAGTCTTGTCTTGCTGTTGCTAAAATCACAAATAAAGTTGAGCTGATCACTAGACTCGAGCCTGCTCACCCATGGAACCCTCTATTTAAGAAGAGAAGAAGAAGAAGAGATTGGATTTATACCCCACCCTTCACTACCCAGAGGAGTCTCAGAGCGGCTTACAAACTCCTTTCCCTTCCCCTCCCCACAACAGACACCCTGTGAGGTAGGTGGGGCTGAGAGAGCTCTAACAGAAACTGCCCTTTTTCAAGAACAGCTCGTATCAGAACTACGGCTTGCCCAAGGTCATCCAGCCAGCTGCAAGTGGAGGAGTGGGGAATCAAACCCGGTTCTCCCAGATTAGAGTCCACACACTTAACCACTACACCAAACTGGCTCTCTTCAACCTTGGGGGGGGAGCAGGCCCGCAGCTTGCATGGGGCCCACGGGGCCCGTCCCCCCGTGGGTTTTGCAGGCCCTCTCCTCACGCCAGGAGTCCCCCATTACGGCATTATTTTGACTTGGCAACCCTAGGTAAGAACAATGACTTACGGCCCCCCCACTTTCCCCAGGGCCCTCCCACTAAAAAGGTCCTAGCTACGGGCCTGGGGGGGAGGAAGGCAGAGTATCTCCCCGTTGGGCTGATTCCTATGTGCCATGTTGGGTTGACAACGGTCAGGTGGGGCCTGGAGGCAGGAGTTCTCCCGGAATTACAACCGTTCTCCAGACTCTGCGGATCAGTTCTGCGGAAGGAAAGGTCAGCTCTAGAGGGCGGGCTCTGTGGCATCACATCCTTGCCTTCGTCTCCCCAAACTCCACGCTTCCCCCAAATCTCTGGGAATTTCCCAAGCTAGAGTTGGCAACCCGAACACCACAGTCGAGGGCACACTTTAACGGGGTGGGGGAGATGCATTGCAGGGCACTCTGCCCAAAGCTCCCAAAACCTGAATTTGGCCCTACTGATGTCCCCCCCCCAAAAAAAATGTTTCCACCCCTACCAACAGAACCCTGTGTCTGCACGGACTGGCTTGTGTCGGTTTCCTGGCAAAAGTCTGCTCTGTCAGTAGGGAAGGTGGGTAGCAGCAAGAGCTTCACGGTGTGGTTGCCAGGAAGACTGGCAGAAGGTGCCAAGTTACAGCTCCTTGCCTGCATTTAGGAAAGGCTGTGAGACACCCAGGGGCGTAGCCAGAAATTTCTGGGTGGCGGGCCAGGGGCAGCCCCGGGTGGAGGAGAGAGCAGCCAGGGCATCCGCCTCCAGCCATGGGGGAGAGGGTGTGGCTGGCCAGTGGGGAGGCGCCTCTCCTCCCTTCCTGTCTCTGGCCCGCCGGCCTCCCTTTGGACAATGCACCTCCAGCTGCATTGGAGTGTGTGCAGCCACTGGCAAGCAGGAAGACGCCTCTCCTCCCTGCCTGCCTTCTATGAAAGGCGCGACTCCAGCTGTGTTGAAGTATGTGTGGCTGGCTGGCCAGCCTGCCGACCAGCAAGCAAAAAAGCACCTCTCCTCCCTCCCTGCCTTTGGCTCACTGGCTGCCCTTTGAACAGCATGCCCAGCCTGTGGACAGACATTCCTGGTGCAGTGCAGAGGTTGGGCAGGCAGGTGTGGTCTGTGAGGAGCTGGAGCGGTCGGTGGCACTGGGCATGGCTAACGAATGAGGTGGCGTGGCCCCCAAATGCCCCACCGTGGCTGTGCACTTGGCGACATCTCTGTTCCCTCCTGCTGGTGTACGGTTTGGTTGCTTAGGATTTGCTAGGCTGCGAGGACCTGATTGGAGAGGCAGAGGATGCTAAGTGGTGGCATTTGGGGGGGGGGGGAGCTTTCTGCAAGTACTGTCATGCATTTTATTTAGTATACTTCTGTCACTGTATAAAGCATTATAAGTTTAAGGGAAAGGAGCTTACTGTTAACCGAGAAACTCCCACGGCTTGGCCTGCTGCCTTCCATAAACCTCCATAACCTCTGGCCAGGCTAAAATTGAAAATCTGCCGTTATAGCTAATTTCTTCACTACCCAAGAGGAAACACTACATTATTTAAACACCAGGCAATGTGTTAAACACACTTTGATGGCTATCTTTGTACCTCTCTCTAATCTCAGCTGCAGACAGGTGGCCCGTGTTCCTATCCTGAGGGGACATAAAAACATCCCACCTATTCCCCCCCCTTTTAAATCTCCCCCAGAAGATTGCAATGGGACACAGGATGCCTCAGGGAGCTCTCCAGGTGCAGCTGTGGAGGGTGAGGGAGGAATGGCACATGAGCATCCCAGGAAGAAAAAGCCCCCATTCCCTCCTCTGAAGAAGGCAGGATGATTGATTGATTGATTAGATCTCTGGCTCGCCTGCCCCTGCTACAGCAGGCCTCAGGGTGAGGAACAACGTATTATAAAACAGCCATAAATAATTATTAAAAATTAAAAACTAATCCTAGTACACAGACGGCGCATACAGTACAATCTCATCAGAAAATAAGAATCGTCAGCATGGGGGGAAAGGTCAAAAATGGGAAACAGGAAGGAGGCCCATCAGAGAAGCTGTCGTGCTCCCCTCGACTGCAGGCCTGTGGGAGCAGCTCTGTTTTACAGGCCCTGCAGAACCGTGCAAGATCTTGCTGGACCCGGATCTCAGCTGGCAGAGCGTTCCACCAGGCCGGGGCCACCGCCGAAAAGGCGCTGGTGCTGGCCGAGGCTAATCAAAAACTTCTTGGTCCAGGTACCACCAACTGGTCTTTGTTTAAAGAACATAATGTTCATGAATGTTCATGATTGTTATTTCATATCTATATGCACCCGTCTTGCTCAGCTGGGGTTGGGCTGGGTTGTCACCAGTATGTCAGGGCTATTTTTGGGCAGGAACGCACAGGAACGGAGTTCCGGCGGGCTTCAGAGTTGGCCATGCCCACTACAGCCAAAACCTCTGCGTGCCTGGCTACAGAGGGAAGGCCTGGAGAGTGACCCCCCCCTCGGCAACTCCGAGGTGGGCGGGCCGGGGGGCCCTGGAAGGATTATCTTCCCCAGCCTGTTCAAGGGCCAGCAAG